AAACAAAGACGAAGTTTTGTTGAGTTAAAAAATTTGATATTGCATAAAACGATTGAGCTATGTTTTCATCGTAAACCTGTCCAGTAACTTTCAAATACTTATTAACATAGGTGACCAGATAAATTAACATTAATAGATGTTGAAATAGATGACACAAAAACAAGATGCAGTGCCAATGAATTTCTTTTTAGTTATCAAGGAAAATTTTCGAGAAAGTTTAATAGGAAATTCTTGTGAAAACGATTCATTATGAAACTGTCGAGAAAAATGCATTTATTTTACAATACATGTTGCAGAAAATGGATATGATTCTTATCTAGCATTACTACGAAAAATATTAATGCAACAAATTGTGTATATAAGTTGATCTTTCTTTCTTTTTTCTTCTTGGAGTCATTGATGAACACCAGAAAAAAGAACATGTTGTACACATTAGAAACAATCAAAATCACATGATATTCTTCTTTTCTATTGATTCCATTCTGTAAAGAGGTGCATGTACTTTCCACTTTTTCACAATTATTACCCATTTAAAAGAAAGACTAGAAGTACGTATTTTTAGAACTACTTTTCCTAGGAACAAGATGGAGAACTGCGATTTTTGCACGCTCTTCACTGATGTAATTTTTATTGTATCTGCACGAAAAAACAAAATGTTAAGAGAATTAATATGATAAGATTTGGTATACATGTGTTTTTTATTGATCGATTGAATGAAGTATTTTAGCAATAATTAAATTGAATAATCTAGGATCATCACATGAATACTAATCATGTAAATAAACTCTTATTATCTCTCAACAATAGTGATCTTAATGATTGAGTACATTAATTATTATACAAAGATTTGATTGAAAAAATCTTTTAAATTATCTTTCAAGATGATGTTCTCTACTTGTTTCCAAAGACTGAAGACAGAAATTTGAGGATATTGAAGTAGAAGAAAATCATATGAATTTTGTTTCATGCTCAATTTAATAAACGACAAGTTCCATCATATACACAATGATTGGCTCACATATTTGTCTATTTTTTATTTTTTTTATTTTTTTTGATCCAATGTATATTTTATCGATGTATTGTTTTTGTTCAATTATTCGTCTGACGTTCGACTGTTCTATTCATTTTAAAATTAGTCTAGCTTTATGTATACGATTATATATATTAATATTTGTAACTTCGTTTCGCTTCAGATAATTGTTCAACTATGGCTAATAATGATACTGATAATATAATCAATGAATTCATGAACTTAGATGTTTGTTTACACGATAATAATCACGTTGGAGCGCTTGCAGTATATAGTAATACAGTATTCATAAAATGTATGAATTATCTTATTTTTATATTCTAGGCATTGACTAAAATTATAAATTACTTGAAAAGAAAACTTCGCAAAGACAATGCTGCTGAAAAACAACAGATCGTTTATAATATGATGAAACGAATATATTTAAATTTTGAAAACGGTTATTATAAAGGTAAGTTTGAAATACAAAAGAATTCTTAAATTAATTCTTGAAGATATTATATTTTGTAGATGTTGTTGACGATTTCAATTTTTTGATAGAACTCGGAGAAACAGTTGACAAAAATAAAGATTTATTTATTATGAAAGAGTAAGTTATTTTTCAGTATTTTCTGATATTTGTCAACAATTACGATTGCTTTTATTTTAGACATGCTTTCATAGAAACAATTATGAAAGATTTAACTTCAAGATTTGAACAGGCACAAGTTGAATGTAAGTTATCTATTATGATATTACAGCAATGAGGCTTTATTTCATGTATTTACAACACATTGATAATAAATTATATTTAGACAGATATACTTTTATTTTCATAGATATTAAAGATGTCCATCACCTATTATATAGTTTTCTGTATGCTACCTATTATTATTTCTTGGTATCATTTTCACAAACAGTTAGACATTGAAAATAAATTCCTGTTAAGAAGATTATTCTATTTAAGAGCTTTTTCTGCTAGTTTTGAGAAGAAACATGATGTTATCTTCGTTGCTTAGCGTATTGTTTGCACTGAGAGAAACAGAGCCAATATATAGGGTTTTTAATTGTTGAAATTTTATAAATTGAGTCAAAACTCCTCAGACTATTAACTTCTGTTTGAACTCTTTTTTTTTTCTAGTTCCTCGTGTCTTATGAAAATTAAAATAGAATTTCGATGAGCCTCAGCCTTTCATAGAGCTAGAGCAGATATTATTTGAGACGTTCGAACGATTAGTTTTAAAACAAATGTAAATTCAACGAAAATATCCTGTTGAAATCGGCATATGATAAACGTCTATTAGGCAATGAGTTCCTGACAGGAGTGTGCAATAAATGTGAAAAAGCTACACATGATTCACAGGGTACTCTGAAGAATTCTTTGATAAAATATTTTTAATCATTACTGTTGATTTTCCATCTAGTTCTTATCAGCTCATTGAGACAGATGTCCTCTGTGAACACATTCATTGTAGTTGTTGGGGATGAAGAGATCAATATAATGTGACACAAAATAAAATTAATTAAACCGAAACGTACTTTTGCAAGGTGCTTTGAATGAAATTCATTGCAAAGAATAGTTCATATTTACTTTTTCTTTCATGATTTTAGGATGAAAGATAGTCAATCAATGCCTGTAACAGAAAAGCAAAAAACTTAATAGTATTAAAATTAAGAAACTATTTCAATTTGGAAATTGAACTTTGTTTTTTATTATGGATAATAGAATGATGTAGCACAGTTTATTTTGTTCTTTCATTTCATGTTTATGGTCAATTTATACAAGAAAAATCAAGGTGCTTATTTTCCTACAGTCAATTTCATCTCAAGATGGAAAAATTGATGCTCATTTTCAATTTGTCCATGCTCGGTTTTTGTTCTTTTTTCAATGTTCTTTGGTTCTCATTAGATTGTATACAGAAATTTGGTTGAATAAATTGAGAAATACTTAAACTCACAACAATTCTCTTGTTGTAATTCGTATACAGTCAAGTGGGGTAATTCGGATCAAATTTTCAAAAATTCATCTTGTTTGTTTTCGTCCTCCTCTGTTATACATCGTATAGACGAAATTTTTATAAGAGAAGTAGAGTGGGGTTTTCTCTATCAAATGACGAAAGAATTTCCAGAAAATCATCTACTGTAAAAAAGTATCATGAAAAATACTAAAAGCAACGTTGAGGTGATCCGAATTACCCCACTTGGGGTAACTCGGATCATCTAGGCAATCAAGGTGGGGTAATTCGGATAATTCCAGCAAAATTATGTGTAATATTTTCCCCCATCTCATAACTCATTTTCTATCCATCCTCGAAAAATTACTAAATATACCATTCGATAGCCCAAAGTGTCTACTATGGGACCTGAAAATATTTCGATGATTCAATAAAACGTTGATGATGAAATATTCGCTACATTGACACCTCCCTCCATCACTTTTTGATA